TTAATTTCAAGAAGTGCGTTCTTCTTCCATGCTAATTTTAACATCCAGCAAAAATTTAACTGTTATTTCTTCCCAAATTACCCTGAAGGATGAAGGAAACAATTTCATCACTTGTAGATCTTTCTGACTTCCTTATAACAATTCATTCTTCTCATTTTCTAATTCACCCATGATCATAACAAAACATTTTTTCAGCTGGAGTTTTCATTACTCTCATTGGCTGAAAATTACATCCAGTCAGTCTGATGTGCAGATGGCTAGTAAATTATTTTATATTGTTTGTTTTGTTTTGCATTTAAGAGGTTGAAATGCTCAAAATACCATCCTTATCCTCCTTTTTCTTCACTCCTCACTTGGGTTTATAGGGTTACTCCCTAATATATAGATTCTTACCTTTTTTGAGTGAATGTGTCAGCATTGTGCCAAAAATGTTGCCAGGCCACTGTGCAGGAGGGTAGAATATCTTCTAAGAGCCCTGCACACCACCTGGAAAACATAGAGCTGCTCACCTCTTAGCTCCCCACACCGCCATCTGTCATCCTTAGACCATTCTTCCATGCTGACTGCCAGCTCTGGTACTTAACAATTCAGCCCATGATTTTCAGTTCAACCCAATGGTCAAGATTAATCTCCCACACAGAAGGTAGTAAAAGTAATAATGGCTCCTAAACACCAATACACATACAGCTGTAAGTTCAAGAAAAATTTTCACTGAAGGTGACATGAATATAGAGGCAATGCTATGTGGTGTGTGTGTGTGTGTGTGTGTGTGTAAGGTTCCCACTATCTTCTTACAGTCTTGCATTTTATTCTGAAATTACATCCTTCTTGCTATTTCCTTGTTAAAATATTCCTTCTTCTTTTTTAATGAAATGACAGCAATAATAGATGGTTATTACATTTAAAAAAATGTCTTTACTTGCTAAAGTAAAAAATTGGGAAGCAGATGATGAAGCTTCTTCCCCACTTTTTTTCTAAAATTTTCAGGTCCCAGGGTGTGAAATCACTGGTTCACATTGTGTTAACTCACTTTTGTTCCAAAAGTCCCTTCTGCAAAGTAAAAGACCTGAAGCATCATAAGAGATCTCCCCTGAGAGGAGTCCTTTGATTTAATTAATCTCTTGAATTAAAACTAGTTGAGGGGCCGGCCCCGTGGCTTAGCGGTTAAGTGCACGCGCTCCGCTACTGGTGACCCCGGGGTTCGGATCCCGGGCGCGCACCGATGCACTGCTTGTCCGGCCATGCTGAGGCCGTGTCCCACATACAGCAACTAGCAGGATGTGCAACTATGACATACAACTATCTACTGGGGCTTTGGGGAGAAAAGGGGAAAAAAAAAACGGAGGAGGATTGGCAATAAATGTTAGCTCAAGGCCGGTCTCCCTCAGCTAAAAAAGAGGAGGATTGGCATGGATGTTAGCTCAAGGCTGATCTTCCTCAAAAAAAAAAAAGAAAAAAAAATAGTTGAGCACTGAGGAGTGATTTGTGGTCTATCATTTTAGAGACCTTGCTTGTTATTACAAAGAGCTAAACATAGAAATGTGTCATGTTTTCAGATGTGACTTAATGGTCACTTCCAGTTAGACTTTGCCTTAATTGTTATTGATGAAATATGGGGCAATTGTGGTTTAAATCTATGTAAATAGAATCTAGAAATACCCTGGTTCTGAGGATGGGAATAAAATAATCTGCTCTAAACTTTTAAATTCCAAAATGAGCATGTGTTATGTTTTCATCTGCCATAAATTCGTAGAACTACTTAGGCTGTAAGATATTGACAAAAGTACATTGATGTTCTTTACTAATATTTTGATTTCTAGAAAAAGATTAAGGTATTGAGTGAAATACTTCTTCTTTTTTTTTTTTTTT